AGAGTTTCTCTCTACTCTGTGAGAGAGAGAGAGAGAGAGAGAGAGAGAGAGAGAGAGAGCGAGAGAGAAAGAAAGAAAGAGACATTATATGATATTAAATGAAAGAACATACTAGCAGTCAAAACACGCTCTGTCTAACTATGTATGCACAAAAGCCTTGATCTGAATATAATATACGGTTTGTATAACAGCATCAGTGCTCTAAAAATAAGTTTAAGGTCTTTCAAGTTGGTCAAATTCACCGAATTAAATATTGTGCAATATTCAATTATAAAAATCTACTAAAAAACTAAGCAAAAGACTAGAATTACTAGCAAGCTGTACATTTTCTTGTCCTCATTATATAGGAGTCTTAAAACCTGTTGAGGATTGATTCTGCTCACCTTCTTCCCTGCTGTCTTCTCCACCATGGCTCCATCTCGGTCCGATCCCGGTTTGGCCATGGTGCATCATCTGACTAGCTGTGGCAGCTACGGCTCACAGATATCATCATGGGCCTGAAACACAAACAGGCAACTCATATGAGAGCTTGAAAAACTGATACAATAATGAAACATTTAACTAAATATGAATGTGTGGCATTTTGGAACCCATAAAAATGTCAGCCAATGTTACAGGCTTCGGATGCTGGAAGCAAATTAAATAAAGACTTACTTTTATAGTATATATACATATATATATATATATATATATACTGCTGTCAAACTATTAATCATGATTAATCGCATTCAAAATAAAAGTTTTTGTTTACAGAATATGTGTATGTACTGTTAATACACAGCCATTAATGTCTAAACCGCTGGCCACAAAAGTGAGTACACCCCTAAGTGAAAATGTCCAAATTGGGCCCAAAGTGTCAATATTTTGTGTGGCCACCATTATTTTCCAGCACTGCCTTAACCCTCTTGGGCATGGAGTTCACCAGAGCTTCACAGGTTGCCACTGGAGTCCTCTTCCACTCCTCCATGACGACATCACGGAGCTGGTGGATGTTAGAGACCTTGCGCTCCTCCACCTTCCATTTGAGGATGCCCATGCTTGGCCAATCCATCACCTTTACCCTCAGCTTCTTTAGCAAGGCAGTGGTCGTCTTGGAGGTGTGTTTGGGGTCGTTATCATGTTGGAATACTGCCCTGCGGCCCAGTCTCCGAAGGGAGGGGATCATGCTCTGCTTCAGTATGTCACAGTACATGTTGGCATTCATGGTTCCCTCAATGAACTGTAGCTCCCCAGTGCCGGCAGCACTCATGCAGCCCCAGACCATGACACTCCCACCACCATGCTTGACTGTAGGCAAGACACACTTATTTGATTGCTCAAATGCTTTCTTGCTTTCTTGGTCTTTCTATGGCTACAGTAAACCATGTATATGCATACATTTTCGCATTAACACAATAAAGAGCCTAAAGAATAAAGAGTTGTTTACACATCAAAACAAGCTTCACATGAGCTGGCAGCCGAACACTAGACCTTCAGTGCTTATCTTTACATTATATTCTGCAATTTCTCAAAGCAACAAACAAGAAAGTCAGCCATTAGAGAGCGTCTGACGCTAGCAGCCAGGTCTCTTCTGGATGAAAAGCAAATCAGCAGAGACCCACAGACCTCAACAATACTTTCCCGAAAGACTGGAGCAGATGACACGGAGCAGAGGCTCCTGGGAAAGAACATTTCCACGACACCTGACACCCAGCGGGGCCGAGTTCAAACCAGCTGAGTCACTCCCTCTGAGAAACAGGAGGCGGTGAGGAGAAAAGAGCTGCGCAGCGTCCGCGTGCATCATTAGTGCGGGACAAATGTGTTACAACTACACCACAAGATTTCCTGTGCTCACTGTGCCAGCATAAAAACCGTGCTACACACACAGCCTCTTAAACCCAATAATCCATCCTCACTCAAGTCTCTGAGGTTTCACCCTCGCAAACAAGTTACAACCGGACTAGTAAGCCTTTAAAAACAAGTTTAAACCAAACCATTCGAACAAACGCATGTTTCAGGACTGAAACATTTTCCTAGAAGTTTGTGCATTTTTGACATGGCCAATATTACCATTTTTATAATTAAAAATGATGTTTCATACCCTGTGTGTGCACATCCTCCTATCAACATCACAAATAGCATGCTATTGATGCATTAGTTCTGATATATCAGACTTTTATCATTAGAGTCGTATTCTATAGTGACCAGAATCTAAAACGGATTCAATGTAGCATAATTTTTCACATTATATTATTATTAGGGCTGTCAAAAAAAATTTTTAATTTCGAAACAAAAAAATTTACTAGCCAATGGCGATTATATTGCCAAGGTGTGCGTAGAGGGTTGATATGTAAAAATATAAATAAATTAGATTTCTGAGTACTTATGTATTCATCATCTGAACAAATAAAACAAAAAAAATCTGGGCTATATTGTGTTTAACAATCAAAATGATGGAAATCTGTTTAAATTATCCATCAACACAATAATTCATGTCAATAAATGGTGTAAAATTGGTTTCATGCATTCAAGATGAACATGACTCTGTCACTTTTAAAACAAATGAATATTATCCAATAAACATAATATACCATATTAATGGCTGGTGATATTAATCAGCTTGTTTGAAAGGCAAAGCAAGTTATTAACCTGCACAGAAAAAAAATGATTCACAATTTTCACTCAAACTGCTAGCAAATTTCGCAAATAATTACAAAGAAATTTCAAGTACACAATGAAATTAAAATGAAATTTTGAAGTAGAAAAACAGAAACTGTATTTTCTTGTAAAACCAAATAATCTTTGTTTGCAACTTCGAAAATTAATTTTTTATAGTTTGCATTTAAAATAACGTGCACTTAACAGGTTGCATTAGTCTTTTTATTTTACTTATGCATTTTCCCAAAGCAAAACTAACTAGAGTCATCTCGTCTGCCCCTTCCATGTCTAACATCATCCGTTTGAGATTTCACCCAACTCTTCACCAGAACCCAAAAATTAAAAATTCAACACCAGGAAACAGCATTCATTGGTTAGTGTGCACTCTAGGTAGTCGTCAAAATTAATATTTAATGGGTTTATTCCCTCTGAAGTTCTTTGTTATCATGAAATCCCTCACATCCACAGGCCTGGCATCACAGAGAGACGTCAAACACTCTGAGGAAGCAAAGACGGCTTTCTGCCCCAGAAACGAACCTCACAGTCATGATTACAATACGCTGTTTACATCACAGTCACACAAAATAACATTCAAGGTTATTCTGGAAGTACACGGATGGAGGACTGTACCAGTGCATGCAAACTGCCAACTATACTGATATTTCAGTGAACTTTTGGGAAGCAAATGACTAGGTTTATTCCTGCCTCCGAGACGTGAGACGAAGGCAAAAACAGGCACGCAGAAAGACAGGGGCCGGAGCCAGGGAATGGAAACACAAACAGAGCGCTCCAAACCCTCCAGTGCGTGACCTCAGACTGCCGCCTCTACTGGGACAACGGCAGTGGAACGACTGACGGGCCTGATTTATTCTCCCAGCAGCCCCACCAACAAACCACCCTGTGTGGCATCACCATGTATACATCCAGCATAACGGCTCTGTGTGTCCTCTTGACCCCGACACGGACAAATAATCTACGGGAACAGCTTTGGAAAAGGGGGAAAAAGAAAGAAGTTCAGAACAAATATTGTAAAATGGATTGTTCCAGATTGGATATCTGTTTAATTCTGTATTAATGTGGTAAGTTTTTCTTCGACTCTCGTTTTGGACACGTCCTGCTCTGTATTTTTTTGCATCACTTCATATTTGTGTGTAAATAATAGGATTGGAAATACAGAATTCTCGATTTGAATCAATTCTCATTTTAATTAAATGATATTCATTCTTTAATTACAAGAACTGATGTTTTAGTCTGTGCTGTTTTCAGCTGATGAAATAAAACTAAACTATTATTTGTAGTACGCCTGATATTCACAACAAGTTTGTGCTTTGTAAGCTTTGATATTAATTTCAGTTTCAAATTCTGTCAATTTCATAACAAAATTCAAACAATAAATGTCATGTTTACACTTTTCAAGTGTCAAGACACTCCTCAGTTCAAACTACATCCATTCATCTCTTCCACTTAACTACTAGTTATGGCATGAAATAAACATGAAAGAGTATCAGAAGTGTTGAAAGAAATAGTACAACTTACTGAAATGTATAATCTCTCATATAATCACTCAATTAGTGTAATTAACATAATTAAACAGTCACATTTACCTCAAAAAAACCATTCAATGTCCATAGATTGAGATCGAGCTAAAAGTCTAGAGTGGAGTATTTGGATAAATATATGCACTATATTACATATTTATTATGTTTTTACTTTAATATATGTTTGAATAAATCAGTCATGAAAACCAGTTATTACAGCCATGGCTTAAATACCAATTTCAAAATACAAAATGCAGTAGAAACTTTTTAATGATTTAATTATGTTATTATACAATGTTATTCTAATAAAACCTGCCCTATGTGCAATTTAAATGTTTGTATACAAATCAGTTGTTACATTTTAACCTTTAATATTATACCAGCAGTCAGCGATCCCTGTATATTTTACAGCATTAGTTGAGAGATTTTTTTCCTTGATAAAAAATTGACATAAGCCTACTGTATCTGGTAGGATATCCAAATGATATTCAATCAAAAGGAAACAAAATTGGAATTTAATCAAAAAGCAAGCTCAAAAACGATTCAAATCATGAAATTTGTGTCAATGTCCAGTCTAATAAATAGCGTAAATCAGTGTGTGTAAATACAGCTACAGTACGGCAAAAGGACAGGCAGATAATGCTGTAGTTGAACACACGAACGTAATCCAGCAGCACCACGCTAAACAAACAACAGGAAACTGCAATCAAATCTTCAGAGATAAACGGTTTACCATCGGCCAAATATTCTCTGAACGGAGAAACACCGTTTCTGGATTCCTGGCAGGTTTTGTGACTCAAAGACAAATCAGAGCAGAGGGAATCGTGCCACTTTCTTGGTGGCCAGAAACATTAAGGTCAGAAACCAGTTTGCAGATGCAAACGTGACTAAACTAACTCAGCGAGAGCATCTTCAAGCTCTTGCTTCACAATCAGAGTATGAGAGAGGGGTGGGAAGATCATTCCACCAGTCAGGAACAGTGAACGAGAATGTTCAGGAAAAAGAATAATAATTATGACCTAGAAAGTGTTAAAAATACAAATTCACACAAATCTTAATTATGACCGAAAATTGTAACAAAAAAACGACTTTTTTCATAAAGTCAGAATTATGACAGTCAAAATTATAAAAAAGGTTTTGACTTGAATGAATGACTTTGAATTAATTAGAAATACAAATACATACAAATCAAGTTCAAGTTCAAGTTCAAGTCTGCTTTATTGTCAATTCTTCCACATGTACAGCACATACACACAGAGAATTGAAATTGCGTTACTCTCAGACAGTTTCAAATTCTGTCAATTTCATAACAAAATTCAAAC